TGTTAGGAGAAATGGGTTTTCATTTTTCTTTTCTTTTTAGATAATTGCGAATTTTGACTCTTGTTTCAGCCCCGTTTAAGGCGTTGAGTGTATTTAGAATTAAGGCGAAGATAATGTAAGGTTTGACCTAAGGAATAGGAGGTCCAATAAAATTTAAAAATAACACTTAGGTACTTATTAACCAACAAGTGTGTTTTTGTGAAAGTCAAAAATACCTAATTTGTTTTCCAGTATGTTCGATCTCATCGTATCATATTATGTTTTGCCACATTTGAGAATCACCGTAACACCTGCTTAGTGGAAGTCATATGTATTAATACTTATGTCTTCTAATAATTAACATAATCGTTTTAAATATTTAACAGAATTTTCATATAACATCTTTTTCTTTTCAGAATTCTATTGGTTTTTAATATTATTTACATAAGATAAGATTGTGGGTATGTTAGACTCTTACAAAAAAAATTAAAATAGTTGGTAATTAACAAAGACCTAAATATTACTCTCAAATTACACTGGATTTAACATTAGTTACACTAAATATCAGGGATCGAATTGAGTTTAGGTGGCGGATTTAGCATTATGCCTTCCCTGCTAGAAGACAGAGATGCCAACTCCATCATATGTAAATGTGGATGTTAACATCATCACTATCAATCTTTTTAATATCCCCAAATGAAAATGACACTGCCGCTGTTTCTTCATCATTTTATATAAATAATTTTCTGTGTCGGATATTGTCATCAAACACAAACAGAACTCAAATATGAGCGGCAAAGGGCAAACTTTTATATATATACATATATGTGTGTGTGTGTGTGTGTGTGTGTGTGGATGGAAGAGTAATTGGCATTGGTAGTCTTCAAAGTGGTCCAAACTGGTAAGGGTGCTAAACCCCAGAAGCAGAGGAATCAGAATCCCCCATCTCTCTTCTTCATCATTGATTCAGCAATTCCGATATCCGTTTAGCCCAATCACCTCTTTTTCACCTTATAATATTTCTCTTCGCATATGGGTGCCACCATTTCTTTTTTATATTAATTTATCTTCACGATCTTTTTAATATTCATGGCTACTTGCCTTTCATTTCATTTAGGGAGAATGTGAAATGGGGTTTTTTTCTTTTTTTAAGGCTAGGCAATAGAAAATGAAGGAATGTGTGCAGAAGAAGAGGTTCGGTTTGAGAACATGGGAGTTTCAGATTGGAAACTGTGTCACCAAATTCATGTAATCAGGACATGGGAGTTGGGAATTTTGGACCCACTTTGATAAAAATTAAACTTGGCTTATCATAGTCATCCTGATTATCCAAGATCAGAAGGCTGTGAAAAGCTATAGAAGAGGTCAGGAGATCCGAAAGGCATGTGGGTTAAAACTAAAAATAAAAATAAAAGGATAAAGGGGTAATGTAGAATGCACACACAAGAAAAGAAAAGAAAAGATATGGCTAAGGTTAAGTAGGCTCACATGGCGAAACCCAGAAAGCTAAAGACAAACCACATGGGTGGTGGCAGCTTGATGGGGCTGAGGGTGAGGCTGAAGCTGAGCCCCAGTTTTCAAGATTGGAATTGAAACCCCACCTATCATATGACATAACCCCACGTCGTACCATTTGCAATTATACTGCGCGACTCTTAAGCCCGCCCTCTGTTTGGCTGCCAATGCCATCATACTTGTTCCCAATCCGGGTTGTCTTTCCAATCTCTCCTGCAGATTAGTATCTGTCATTATCCTATATATGTATATATTACCTTTCCCTTCATAATTAAGTGAAAAAAAAAAAAAAGTTGTACTGACTTACAAACCCATTAGAATAATCAGGTTTGTAGTTTGTTCCTATCAAATTTTAGTTTTGAGTTCGGTGTGGGCTTCAGTATGACCAAAAATCACTATTTCCCGTTTGTTTGAGTGCGTCAAAGGCCCTTATCCTTATATATAGAATTGCAGCTACAACATGAAAGAAAGAGACAGACTCCGCTAAAGTTATAAGATGAACCTACGGGATGAATTGATATGATAATTTTGAAATATCATAAGGCGAACCTATTAATGTTGTAGTTTTAGATATTGCACAGTAGAGATGATGCATGGCTAGCTAACTAATGGCACATGGCATGCACCCAACGGGCTCAGAAACGAGGGCCACTGCTGCCAAATACGAAAGTCACCATCGAAATTTTAAAGCTCGATCGCTCTGGAATCTCTGGCATTATTGAAAGAAACTAAAAGAAAAAAGTGGAGGGAGCAGCCACAAGTAGAGTCTGTTTCTTACTAGGCAGATTTGTTCTCAATTATTTTAAGTGACACTTGACCTTAAATCAAGTAGTAATTACCATTGGAATGTATAATTAACTTTGCTTCTCCCAACGAACCCATGAAGATTGATTATATACTAATAAAAATACCACTTGGGTCTTCAAATTGAGACTGATAAGCTTCAAATTTCGAGTTCTATTAGGGTTAATTAATTAGATATATGATTTACAAGAACGGAATTTTATGTTATAGGTTGGATTAGGTGTAGTTTTGTTAGATTCATTAATTGTGGAGACCAAGATATAATAGTTTCTTTTGCGTAAACAAGCAAAGGTTACCGTTGCTTCAGCGAATAAAATCCCAATTAAGGAAGCAGAAACCCCAAAAAGATATTGCGCAGGAAAAATGAATTGCATTTTCATAGCTTCAGCTTTGTCCCTGATGAATAAGAAAATTGATTAAATTTCCTTAAAAGGCAAGTTAAGTGTTAAGATCACGCAGCCAAACCTTCTTAATTAACCCCTCCTCCCAGTTTTGCCCACTGTTTGAGGGAGTAAACGATTTTTCTCCTTCCAAATAAAGGTTTAATAATACTTATCGCTCGCGTATTTTTAAAATATCATTTAATTATTTAAATATATATTTCATTTCCGATTTCAACATCGTTACAACCTCACACCACCATCATTCTTTTATCTTATCATCACTCACCAAAACCCTTGTCGGTCCAACTATCATCGACGATCAAGTGATTAGGGTTTACATAATTGTCTCTCTCAGGTTAAATTTTGATCAACCTTAACTATCAAAATCCAATCTTTCACCATTAAAAGATTCCCCTCTCCAGAAACCCTAACACCTAGATAGAGTTTGCTTTCCATTTGTCATCGGAATACAAATTTAAGTAATAAAATGGAAAAGTCGTTAGCTCTTATTTGAGGTAGAACCAATCATAATCTCATTTTCTAATGAGGGGTGATCAATAAAATGAATAAATCTATCCATTTTCTAAAATCTCTTGTCACGATCATCGGATAGATGAAATTTTATTGGATCATTCGAAACCACATCACATCACCAATGTGATGAAATAGGATGAATTGAGTCTTGAATATATTAACTATTGTATTTGTATATGTACATGAATCTTTGAGATGAGTAACTGATTCGATGATTCTTCGTGTATAAATTAACACTGATATTCCAGAGCTTCCACCCTGTAAAAAGATTGAACAGTAATACACAACAGTTCCTTTTCTTTCTTTTTGTGTTTGGTTCATGCGTGAAGGAAATTAACAAAAGAAACAAGATAACAACAGGGATATTGCAACACATTGATTCTCCAAAACTGTCGTCATGTCATGTCATGTCATGGCTGTAACTCTAAACGAACGCTACGTGGGCAAACGGTGGAAGCGGTGGCTGGTTGCTAAGTTCCAATTCCCAAACTTCCGTCGCGTAGTTTAGGTGAGCCGGTGGGTGGGACTTGGGAGAGATGAAGATGAACTCAACTCAGTTTATGGAATGCCAAGTGTCTGCAAAAGCTGAGAAATTTTCCCATACTCACAGGCTNGGTAGAACCAATCATAATCTCTTTTTCTAATGAGTGGTGATTGATAAAATGAATAAATCTATCCATTTTCTAAAATCTCTTGTCACGATCATCGGATAGATGAAATTTTATTGGACCATTCGAAACCACATCACATCACCAATGTGATGAAATAGGATGAATTGAGTCTTGAATATATTAACTATTGTATTTGTATATGTACATGAATCTTTGAGATGAGTAACTGATTCGATGATTCTTCGTGTATAAATTAACACTGATATTCCAGAGCTTCCACCCTGTAAAAAGATTGAACAGTAATACACAACAGTTCCTTTTCTTTCTTTTTGTGTTTGGTTCATGCATGAAGGAAATTAACAAAAGAAACAAGACAACAACAGGGATATTGCAACACATTGATTCTCCAAAACTGTTGTCATGTCATGGCTGTAACTCTAAACGAACGCTACGTGGGCAAACGGTGGAAGCGGTGGCTGGTTGCTAAGTTCCAATTCCCAAACTTCCGTCGCGTAGTTTAGGTGAGCCGGTGGGTGGGACTTGGGAGAGATGAAGATGAACTCAACTCAGTTTATGGAATGCCAAGTGTCTGCAAAAGCTGAGAAATTTTCCCATACTCACAGGCTAAAACTTTTAATTATAAAATAAAATAAAATCACAAACTATATTTATTATTTGCTCGTGATTTGTGTAATTTCAGATCGGCTTTAAATTTTAAATTGGCTCATATTGCACTCAGTGATTGGCCTAAAAGCACACACAGTCGGTGTATATCTGAGATCATAGGCTGTCAACGGTCAAAAAGAGCGTGTGTCATTGATCATCATTGAGCGCACGAGATGGGAAGATGGAGGAGGAGAGGGGTAGTTTAGAGAGAAATGGTCAAACTTGGTCAACATTCAAACTTGCGAAATTCAAGAAAGTCAGTTTTGGACACGTGGATAGCATTGCCTACGGAAGCTCCTTAAAAAAATGAGCCTCATGCAAAATTCTCAAGCCCACTCTTGCAGGAGGACCCAATAGGCCCGACCCGAAACTGATTCAGGACTTTTTTTGGAATTTTGAAAAAAATAAAGGGTAATTCTTGTCTTTTTACCTGGCACCCTTAGCCTTAACTTCGGCTACCCTTTAAAAGATAAGAAAAGCGGGAGTCGCAGGTAGGGGAGAAGTTGCAGAGAGAGTGAGTAATAAAGAGAAAGAGAAAGTGAAAGAAAGGAATGTAGAAATGGAGGTTGAACAGTGAAGAAGAAAGACATATTTTTTAAGAGAAAAAACGAGAGAGAGTTGAGAGAGGAGGTTAAGTGTGATAAATAATCTGAGAAAAAAATGACGACGGGGATTGTTCAAGAGCAAAATCTTGAGAAACAGATTGAGAAGCAAATGGGTTGCATGGCCGGTTTCCTTCAGATCTTTGATCGCCACCAGCTTCTCACCGGCAAACGAATCTACTCCACCAAGCGCCTTCCTCCAACTCCGGTCAGTTTTAGTATTATTTTCCTGTTCTGTATGTTCTGTTTGGTTGTCTTTTTTTTTTTTACTGATTTTTTTTTGGTGGTGGATTGTTTATTTCAGGCCATTGATTCGACGGTTGAATCAGAGAGTACTGTCGAGTCGTCTCCGGCGGTGTCAAGAGAATTGGAGAAGCCACAGAATCAGCATCATCATCAAGGAAGATCAATGCCTTCACCGGACCGGTTCAAGCAATCTCCGGTATCGGAGCTGCGGTCTCCGGCGCCGGAGCCTACGACTCTGGTGGAGATGCAAAGCAAATTGACGCTTCCTCTTCCAGTTTTCGAATTCAAGGAAGGTACAAGGTCGTCATGGAAGTTCTGCAAAGAAGCTCCTCGCCTTTCTCTCGATAGCAGAGCCGTTGTCGACGCTAAAGGAAGTCTCAAACCTAGAGAGATCCGTTCAAACGCGGCGATTTTATCATCAAATCGTTGCGAGAACAATGAAGAAGGAGGTGCCGATGACAGCGAGAAGCAGCGGCGGTCTACAAGTGTAATCGCGAGACTCATGGGACTAGAACCGTTGCCTAATTCGGATCCTGAACCGGCCAAAAAAGCTGAGCTAAGAAGATCCGCTTCAGAATCTAGAGTATCCAAAGACTTCCATCAATACCGGTTCATTGATGGAGTCAATTTTCAGTTAAAACAGTCGCAACCGCAGGCCGTGAGCTCGCAGAGCAACAATTCGAGCAATGGAGTCAGACAAAATGGTAATGTAGGTAGAGAAGAGCGCGCAATGAATGGAAGACAAGTAGATCCAAAGCAGTTCACCGTACGAAATGTAAGAGGCGAGCCAGCCAAAGCACCGCAGAGAGGGGGAGGTATAGGACAAAGAAAGAGTTTCTTTGACTCTGCGGATTTCTTTCCTGAGCCAAAACAGACTGTTTCCATTTATGGGGAGATTGAGAAGAGGCTTAAAATGAGAGGAATCGACGAGCCTTCAAAGGATCTCGAAACGCTAAAACAAATCCTTGAAGCATTGCAACTGAAAGGCCTTTTACACCCCAAGAAACCCTCCACCGCTCAAACGAATCTCAGAAACTTCGTCTACGATGAATCTCCCATCGTCGTCATGAAGCCGGGGGCTAATCAGCAAGGGCGAGTCGGCAAGGACTTGTCTCCTTCGAGTTTTAGATCGAGAACAACCGGACCTCGCCGGAATTTAAATTTTTCTGGCGAGATGTCCCCGGCGGTGAGCCCGCGGCGTGACAGACTGGAGTTTGAACGGAATGTACGGAACCAGAGCCAGAGCCAGAGCAGAGGACGTAATTCGATTTCTCCGACTAGGAGTGAAACTGGAGTCAAAAGTCCCAGCCGGAGAAGACCGTTGAGTGTTGAGACTCAGAGGAAATCCAACAATGAGTCCATGGAGCAGGGAAGAGGTTCTCCGAAGATTAACATGAGGAGGACTGTGTCGGATCAGACCCCTAACCGATCACCCAGAATGGCGAAACCAACGGCGGAGATTCGTCAGAAAGACCATAAAGTTTTTGCTCCAGCTGAGGATGACATATCCACCATTTCCGAGTGCAGTATTAGCACTTCATCTCAAACCGATACGGAGGTAAACCCATTAAAATTACTCTTAATTGAAGTTGATTAACTTTAATTATCCAGTTTTTTGAGTTAGTTTTGATTTTGACTGCCATTGTGATTACAGAGATCGAAAGCCGAGGAATACAAGGAAGGGAGGAGTTTGTTAGAGAGATGTGATAAACTGCTAAACAGCATAGCAGAGATAACGGCGTCTGAGTTGCAACCGAGTCCCGTTTCGGTGCTTGACTCGTCGTTTTACAAGGAGGAGTCGTCTCCTTCCCCCGTCATGAAACGGAGCATTGATTTCAAAGGTACGCTCTGTTTAATTTCTGCTCAGTTTAGATTCTGAATTGCAGATTAATTTATGGTGACGTCTCAATGAGTAATGATCCTTTTGTTAGGCCTGGTTTTAGCCTATAATAGCCATTTAAAAGCTATTAAAATAGCGTGACATTTTCAGGGGAAATAGTGAATTCTTCTGACGACTGGTACTGTGCGTTTGATGTTCTGGAAATTGTAAAATGTCACGTGAAACTGATAATTTATGGTTGGATGAATTGAAGAAGAATGAGGATGGAAAATGTCATGTTATTTTTCAGTCAAAATTAACTGCATTGAACTGCAACTGTGATGGATAAGAGTCTTAAATGGAAAATTGATCTGAACCCTCATTTCACTCTCTCTGCAAAATTTCCTGATGCCAAAAAAATCAAACCCTAGTACTTTGTTTAGTAGCTTAGCTGAAGGAGAATAACTTCGCTGAACCTGACTGGACTGACAGATGCCGTCGTCTGCCAGCCATTACTAGTTAATAGTAGCATTTGGTTTAAAGAGGCCCACCACGTTAACAAATCAGAGAGAGATTACTTTGGCTTTTTTTGATGATAAATTTGCCTTCTGTGTCAGCATATTAGACTTCTTATTCTGCATATGGGCATGTTGTTGTTTTAACTTTCAATCAGTGGTGTTGTTGGGATCTACATTATTGTTTAGTTAATGCTTATTTCTATTCTGACTTATTTTAAATAATAACAGAGTTGCAGATTGAATCGGAGGATGATTTATGGAACCCGGTGATCTCATCTGTTGAATCGAAATCTGAGGACGATTGTGATTTCATTTACATTTCCGATATCCTTTGTGCATCGAATTACCTTCCCGAGGATTCGGTGTTTTTGTTACTCGAGAAGCAGCAACATCTTAAGGGAAAGGACACCTCCAAGGTCTCAACGCTCCAAAGAAAGCTTATTTTTGATACTATCAACGAGATAATCTATAGAAAGAGACAACTACCTCCAAGGAAAGTTATCTCTTATACTAACTCCAATTCTGGGCATTCATTGTTGCAACAAATCTGGTCTGAATTTCAGAAAATCCGAGAGAGGGACTCTTCCGAGGACTTGTTTAATGTCATTTGTGGTGTGCTGAGAAAAGACCTCGCCGGAGATGCAATCAATGGGGATTGCCCGATTGAGATGTCAGAGGCTGTCCTCGATATCGAAAGATTAATCTTTAAAGATTTGATTGGTGAAACCATCAGAGATCTTGCTGCATTTTCCGGGAATTGCAATCCACCACCGGTGCCCCGTAAAAAGTTAATATTCTGAAAGTGAGGGAACAAAAAGAGGCTTAAGCTTTCTGTTCTATTAGTAATATTTTTTTCTTTTTTCCACCTAATTAAGTTTGACACCTTTTTTTTAAGAGATTTGGGAGATATTTGATCTTGATTTACCTGAAATCCAGGCATATCTAACGTTTCACTTTTGGAAGATGTAAAAAGGTGCAAAAAAATGTTGAAGACCACAATTGAAAAATGTTGTCAAAGTAGTGTGAATGTGTGAGCTTTTAAGCATAAAAAGTGACAAAAGGACATTGTTTTTAGCATTAAAGCAAAAGTTAAAACAAGGAATTTGTCTCTAAGTGATGAAAAAAATCTCAGAAAATAACGGTGCTGATTGCTGGAGGATTGAATAATCTTTTTTGCCTAGCTGGTGGTGGGTGGTCATAATTAAGCCATTGTTGACTCTAAATGTGATGGTCCATTTCTGCCGACGTTCAACACATTTAATTAAGTTGCAATTGATTGATTAAAAAAGAAGAGAACTACATTAAAAAAAACATTGGAAAAATTATTTAACTCAATAGTGGTCCATAATATTTCTTCACTAATACATTTTAATGCACTTTCCCTTTGCTTTAATGCTAGAAGCAAGATCTCAAGAGGTAGGCCAAACTAACCCTCCACCAATTATTAAGGGACAGTTGACTTGCTTTTCTTGCCATATCAACATGGCTTCTCTTTAAAACTAGCAATATGCAGAATACACAAAATTGAGGGCGCTTTTTTTTTTTTTTTTTTTTTTTTTTTTGGGTGTGATTGGGGTTTTCAGGGCAGTTTTTGCCCATCTCAACTAATTTTTCTGGATCCTGAAATTGATAGTCAGATAAACTCCCTCCGTGACCACTCTTATTAGTTATCAGGTGGATCTAAATACACTCAAAAGTCTTAATTGACTACTAGGCTAACCAGTGGTGTTTTTTTTTTTTTTTTTTTTCATTTACTTACATTAATATCTTGTTCTTCAAATTATTGTATCATGGTCCCTCATTCATTCATTCGTTGTCTTCTCGGGGAAGTGTTTGGAAGAAAGAGTGCAATATAAACAGTACTAATACTTTTGGAATATTAATTCACTTAAATGTATCCACTATTTTCGTGGGGGCAATTTCCCATTCATTGCCAGAGCTTCTTGTTGCATTGTCAACTGATGTAAGAGCAATTCTCTGAGCTATTCATAACTTAAATGCTCCCCACCACCTACCCATACGCAACAAAACCATCCTAAGATCAATAAAATTCAACTGCTTTTTCTCAATGTAATTTTATTTGGGGAGTTTATGACATTGCCACTCCTAAGGTTTGGCACAAAATCCTTTTCCCCTTGGTCTCCTAATGCTACCATCCTCGAATGCAATGTTTTAAAACCAGACCCAGCGGTTGACCCGGTCAGCCGACCAAATCATGGGTTAACCGGTTTAACCAATGGTTTAACAAGTTTGAAATCTAGAAAATGCACCCTTGATAAATATCATCAGACCCTATAGGTTTGAAATCTAGCAAACACAACCCCTGGTCAAATGAAAATCGGCGATCGACTGGGAGAGCGACGACAACACACCAGGGAGGGTAGACTGGGTGATGGGGAGGACGAATCGGTAGCTGGCAAGTTGAGGCATTGTTGGAAAATGGCAAATCGATGGTGGAAGTCAAATGGTCGCGGTGGCTTTTTTTGGTGAGATGACGGTGGATCTTCGTGAACAGCAGCAAGGGAGCTTGGGAGAAAGTAGATCGGTGGCTAAGGAGGCTGATTGATGTGGGGAAATGGAAGAAAAATTGTTGGACGACAAAACATCATGTGGCGACAGGAGATGAAGCGTCACAGCCCCAAAGAAAGTCAAAAGGTGGTTTCTGACGACAAGGGAAGGTTGAAGGTCACTGCAAAAGGGGAGGTCATTGCTGATTTGCATTTGGCCAGAGGGTGTATTTGCTGGATTTCAAACCTTTAGGGATTGATGCGTATTAATCAAGGGTGTGTTCGCTAGATTTCAAACTTGAAACAGTTGAAAGGGTAACCTGACCCGGAGAAGGCCCCGGGTCCCAGTCCAATTGGTTAAACCGGCTGAGCCGGTCCAAGTTTTAAAACAATGCTCAAATGGCGTTTTTGTTAGTTAAATTTAATAAAACATACGCCTTTTTGGGTCAAATAGTTAGAAGATTTAACAAAACAGTTAACAATTTTGAATAAACGACAAACATATAAATGATCATTTGTTTAACCAAAACTGTCAACCGTTTATTTAAAATATCTTTTCTCCCCTTTGTATCATTATATTTGACTAACAAAATCTTTATTTAAAGGTGTTAACATTAGTTTTCTGAAATTGTAAGGGGAAAATGTTTTTTGCCAAACCTTAGAATGGCAATGTAATTAATTCTATTGTCCAGCTTATGCACCTCCTACAGCTGGTCCGGACACTCCGGTTATCAAAAAAATATTAATACTATTTCTGTGAGTAACATATGTTAACAAGAAGCTGATAGGTTAATATTTTGTCCAGCCAAATTAACTAGTTATAAATTTTTGTTTTACGCCATTTGATGTTAAATATGCCTCGACTGTTGATCATCCCACATCTTCCGGAAGCCATTTGTGAATAGAGGGGGTGGGGTTGTCAAAATTTAAAAGTTCAGAGGTGGGCCTGAGCCTGAAGAATCTCTCCTTTCATTTCACTTTCCCATTATAGGCATTCTGGCCCATTTAACCACATGGTTGGGCCCTCTTTTCACTTCNACCAAAACTGTCAACCGTTTATTTAAAATATCTTTTCTCCCCTTTGTATCATTATATTTGACTAACAAAATCTTTATTTAAAGGTGTTAACATTAGTTTTCTGAAATTGTAAGGGGAAAATGTTTTTTGCCAAACCTTAGAATGGCAATGTAATTAATTCTATTGTCCAGCTTATGCACCTCCTACAGCTGGTCCGGACACTCCGGTTATCAAAAAAATATTAATACTATTTCTGTGAGTAACATATGTTAACAAGAAGCTGATAGTATTAAATTTTGTCCAGCCAAATTAACTAGTTATAAATTTTTGTTTTACGCCATTTGATGTTAAATATGCCTTGACTGTTGATCATCCCACATCTTCCGGAAGCCATTTGTGAATAGTGGGGGTGGGGTTGTCAAAATTTAAAAGTTCAGAGGTGGGCCTGAGCCTGAAGAATCTCTCCTTTCATTTCACTTTCCCATTATAGGCATTCTGGCCCATTTAACCACATGGTTGGGCCCTCTTTTCACTTCCTTTTCCAGCCTCCTTTTTTGAAAGCGCAACTCTCAAATGTTGTCATCCATGTTCATGCAATAAGAAGTTCTCATGACTCCTTTTTTGTGCATTATGCTTCTTGTCATAGGTCATACGCTTTTAAGTGTAACTCTGTAATTTATTATGCAATATATAGAGTTCTTAATGTTTTTTGTTACAGGTCAAAACGCTTCTTTTGAATGCAATATATAAAGTTTTTTATATTTCTTGTTAAGTGTCGAGTGTCATTCAAGAAACGACATCATCAATATATAATCTTAGCCTAAAATTATAGAATTCTTTATGTGTCTTATCACAAGTCGGATGCTTACAAACTATATGCATTGGACTAGTTTGTTAGTTGATGTTATCTACTCACCCTTATAAGCCCCAAAATTTAACCAATATCCAACCCATTCTTATTGCATATGGGATTGTACGAGTGTTAACAAAAATTTTGAAAGAAAGAAATTGATGGGTCCTTTGCTATCTGAGAAGGGCACATGATTATGAATGGATACATGAAAGAGATGGAGATGGAGATAGAGATGGAGCACTGGCATGAGCACATGATGTTGCCGTGGAGTTTTGTTTGAATAAAGAAGAGGTGAAATTATTTGTTGGGGGTATTGAATAGAGAAATTCATGCGATATTAAGAAAGTATTTTCTCCTGTCAAATCCTTGTCTGGGTTAGCTTCTTGTCACCATCATTGGGGCCTTCCGTTTATTAACAATGTTGACTTCCCCTTTCATTGTAATGTGGCTTCTTTCTTTATTTATTTATCAATCAACCATTTTCGGGATAATGCTCCTTCCAAATAAAACTACTTTTATATAACTTTTTTCATACAAGATAACATTTCGTGATTGGTCAGTTTTTATTTGGGTAGACAGAATCCATTATAAACTGATCAATCATAAGTTATCACATCAAGATTATATGAAAAAGTTGTAAACGTAATGCTGATCATGGTCCTTTATGTATTTTTCTTTTGATAATTATGATTTTTTTTTTTTAAATCATGGACAGATAATTTATTGGGCCAGCTGAAGCCTGTTTAACTCAAGATTTTCTCCAATGGAACGAGTCCAAGTCAAAGAGTATTTGGGCTTCTTCTTCTCATCAAATTTTCTTCATTTGCCCAACTGCCTCACTCTCAAAAGTGCAGGTGTTCAACACATTTTCTATCACATCTTACATTGCTGCAGAATTTGAATTTAGTGTATTAATCAAGGTTAGTTCCTCTTAATCAAGTAGAAAAAACTTTACGTGAATGACGCTTGTTTGAAGCCTAGAATCAAATTCCGCAACACAGGCTGTTGCATCTATATGTTAGCCTTTTGTTTTCATTTTCCCAACTGTCCAGGATTGCTGGTGTATACCCGAGCAATGCTATGTTTACAATTGAATCATACAACTACGTTTAGGGTAACTGAGTCATACAAACAGACATAAAACAAAAGATAGAGTAATCATTTTACATAAATTTTATACAGTTTTTGTCTATAGGTGAATGACACTTGCTTGAAACCTAGAAGAAGCAATTTTCGCAATCTAGATAGGATGCTACATGTATGTCAACAGAAGTCTTCATTTTTCCAACTATCCAATCTGAGGACCATATGTGTTTAAACTTTTTCTTACCACATCTCACATCATTAGTGCCTATCTAAGTGGATGTGTTTATTAGCTTTGAGTTTCCCTTAATCAAGTATATGCACTTTTACATTAATGCATGATGCTTGCTTGAAGCCTAGAAAGAAGTTCCGCAACCGAGGCTATTACATTATATGTCTTCTTCTTCTTCTTTTTATTCTTTTATTTTAATCTTAGATATGCTTCTTTGAATTGAGATCCAAACACGGTCTTAATAGAAATGAGTATTGATTAAAATTGGTGTCCTGTCTGAGAATAAGGCTTCAAAAAGTGATAATGGAGAGAACCCACTTTGAGGTGAATATTTTAAAGTGGTTTAGATCATCACTCTCTCAATCAAACAGAGAAGACAGCTAGAAGAAGAATCATGGCTGGGCTTGCGTTGCTTGATTATTTGTCCACAATCAAATTTGTGGGAGACAACACTTGGTCCACCTTGCTCTCCTTAAACCCTACAATTAATCCTCAGTCAAAACCTCAGTGCATTTCTCCTCATTGGCTCTCCATTTAGTCCACAACTCAATCATACATTTCCAAGAATCCCTTTGATCTTTTACTCATTTTCTCTAAAAACTTACTATTTTCAAAACAATACTAGATTCTGTCATTTTCATTAGGGTTATTTTCCCAACCTCTCATTTTATATATACATATAACTATGAATATGATAGTTTTGATTTTATCATATACTTGTTGATTAGTCTAGTTGTCACCATGATTATTAATCACTCCCATTTATGCTCACTGCTTTGATGACACCACAACAATCTTTTATCTATGCATATCACTGACTTTCGTCTCTTCTGCAGATATTTATATTTATATTTATTTAAAATATAAATCTTAAAAACTACTGCGAACCCCCAGAAAATATTAAAAGAGTAGAAAAATTCTGTCGAAACTCTTTCGTATTGAAAACTTTTAATGCTTATGAATACTTATGAGAGTCGGATGAAAGCTTTCACATTTTTTTACCAAAAGAATTCTCAAAGTTTCAAAACTGTATTTTTAATATCCCTTTTACTTAACTCCGTTATATTGTCGTTAGGATTGAAAAGGTAAAATAGTAACTTCAGTCTTATAAGAAAGTTTTACAAAAATATCATTTTTTATCTATAAAATATTACTGAATTTTCTCCATCTCTATTGTGAATATTTGTATAAATGGTATTGAAAAATAATTTATTAGCGCCAGAAAAATATCAAAAGACAAAAATTAATTCAAATTATTACATATTGAAACCTGTCCAATTTTGTTTTGTTAATGTTTATGGATACTTATAAATAGAAGTTCAAATCTAATCAAATGTTAACTTTTGAGAATTTCATGTATAATTAATTGGAGTTCATATGTAAACAAATATGAATTTCCGAGAATTTCATACATCATTAATATTATTTCAACTTTACATAGGGTATTATATTCCTCTTATAGAATCCTAAACTGTGGAAAAGTAAAGAATGGCGCTTCTGAGAATCTTTGTTTCAAGATTTTGTAGTTTTTTTTTTTTTTAAATAAAATAAAATTATTGTATCCAAAAGAAGGGAGAATAAGAATCTGGGCATTATTTAACAGGGCTAATGAACCTTCTCCAATAAACTCTTCTTGTTTCAATCTTCATCTGCATTAAGTTAAGCACTTGACACTGTGCTTTTGCTTTTCTTTGCCTGCAATTTATAAAAGATAATGAACTGTTAAATGAACTTGTAATTTAATGTTACATGTTTATGATCGATGAAATACTATGACAATAGTAATATTGCGTTCATTTATGTTCAGGATTGTTATATCGAAGAAACTAAATGCAGAGAAAATGAAATTCAAATGATTACATAATTTGTAGCATGGTTGTTTGAATGCAGGATCATCGGATGCAGCAGGAGGATCCTGACCAAATATCATTTCACAGCTCATATCATCAAAATCTGCAGTCAAATTCACAAGGTCAACTCATAAATTAATGAGATTAATTTAATAATCATCTTAATTTTAATTATCATGGTTATTTAGAATTCTGATCATCGAAGACTTTGAACAAATGATTGGCACGTGGGACTGTAACCATCGCTCAACTTGGAAGATTTAATTAAACGAAGGGTGTTCAAATATGTTTGTGAGCTGATGGTTTTAATCATACTAAGGGGCAGCTTTTTGAAGATGATTGGCTTCATGGCGAATATTAAAGCAATTTCATTTTCTGCAGCAACGTGGGGTGGAATGATAAAGGTTTAGAGTTTCAAATACACAAGTCTTTGTGTTCATTCTTATGCTATAATTCTTACTTGAGATTAGATGGGTCTACTTGCAGTTCCTGCTCCCTAAATGGGTTGTCCATGGGGCCTTCTTTGACATCATGAGCATTGCCTCCACATTCTACTCCTAGTGCAACTACTATTTCTCTTTCAAGTATGATTCTGTAACCCTCTAATTAAGAGGATAATTCATTCTGTCCATCAAACACAACTTTGATACCCTTTTCATGTATTTATAATTTTGTTAGTCGCCTTGCATGTGAGTCAGGATTTTCAAGTTATGTAGACGTTTTTTAGGTGAAAGATGATTGTGTGCAGCCCACATGCAAATCTATACTGGTCTCAAACCCAAGTGAATAATTTGTACTTGGTTAAACTCAGGATTTGACAATTCAGGCATCAAGTTCTGGGTATGCTTTAGTTCATTGTTTCCAAAACAGTTTTGTTCTGTCAAAATTTTAGTCTACACCGTCAGAAACCATGTTTAGGGTTTAGATGACGGTAACACATTGTTTATAACTGTGAATAAGCGAGGTTTGATGGTGAGAATAAATGAACTTACTGGGAACCATGTTGACTGGCATCCCAAAGGAGTCTTTGATAAATGTTTGAGTTGGCATCTTGCAAAGATTGGTGCACATCCCTACACAATTAGCCTCCTCTAGAAACCTGGAAATTAATAAAATGGAAAGAAATAAAATTTAAAAAATCTGGATGGGATCGATGATCTAAGAATGACATGATAATGAGGAATTAATGATTGATTATGATGAATTTGTAATGTGTCATGATAGCAATGAAGAAGAACAGACTCTGGCAACAGCAAAATCATTGGAGCAGATTTATTTCAGCCATAAAAGTGTTTCTTAAGTTGGTTTTTGTGGGTCCTTTTTTTTCTTGGGTTAATTTGGCAACCTAAATTCAAAATAATGAAATTAAAGGAAGATTCATATTTCCCATTCTCACCTGCACTTTTTAATGTGAACCACATTCTTTTCTGTGCCTCCATTCACCTCTGATTCTTTCACCTTTAATTTACCATGAAATTGAAGCCATTAGATACTTTCTAATAGTTAATGAGCTATTCAATTATATTTAAATGGATTTGAAAAAATTTACCTGGCAGGGTCCTACTAGCCAAGCGAAAAACACAGTGGTGAAGACGGCAAAAAACTCTCTTGAGAATTTTGTTTGTGGGATCAACGTTCGCATCTGCTCTTCATCATCACAACAACAAAACAATTATCACTACAAAAAAAATAAAAAATAAAAAAAGAATTGAAAATTCAAGGAAGAAGAGTGAATGTCTCAGGAATGAAGAGAAATATCATTTGCAGTGCAGTAGAGATAAACATGGAGCTTAAGTGATGCATGCACGACGGAATTCACAACTAGAAAAACAGCCTTTCTCCGCAGATAAAAACAGTCAAGAACGACTTTCAATCCCAGAAAACAGATTATGGAATTATGTTAACAAGAGAAAGAAAAAAATGAAAAATGAACTTGCCAGTTGGAGGAGTGCGCTTGGAATGGCTTTTTCAAGAGCTTGAATGACGAGTTCACGTTGCTGGGAAGGATTGAAGTTTCGCGCAACTGTTGTAGCTGCCTCCACCAAGCTCTCATAACCAGCCTTCTGGTTTCTTTTTCCTGCATATTCATTCAATCTTCATATATATAGAATCATGAAATCAACTAAAGATGAACGATCAAACGAATGAACGAAACAATAAACCTGTTGCATCTTGAACACATCGAGATAAATGGTTAATCGCCATTTGTTCAAACCAGTTATCATTATAAACTGCCTTCTCAATAACTTCACCGACTGGTTTTAAATTAATCTTATCATGGTGATGATGATGATGACGATCGGTCGGTGGTGGCCTTGTGAGCACGGCAACAATAATTCTTCGAGAACATTTTGTCTTTTGATTATGAGCCAGAGTTGTGATCAGGCTTCTACTCAGTTTGGCTTCCATGTTTGAATACTTAAATTCTCAAATTTAGAGAAAGAATAATAATCTAAGTTTGAGTTGTGGAGATGGAGATGTAAACAAAACAAAAGGGTATATAATTATATGAAGAGCATTTCCATGGCGATGATGCTGAAGAAATTTTGGAATCTTGCACTCTTCAACATCCCTTCTGTGAACTTAAAAAGATGCTCTTTTATATATATATATATATAAAAGAACCTCTATATAGTGATATTTATATAGGGTTAATCTCCATGTAATCATAAAAAATTATAATCTCAACTTGGATTAATTATAAATAAGAATAAATTTTATATTGTAATAAGTTATAATTTTTTAAGGTTCATCATAAGGAACTTGTCTTTACATAGTAATAATTATATGAATATTGTAAAAAATATATGTTATGTTACATCAAATGTTTAAGATAAAATAAAATATTTATCTAAAATTGTTTGGGATAATGATTTATGTTTTAAATTGTTAACACATCTTTTTATCTTGCAAGTATGTAATAAGTCGTCAGCATAGACACCTTCTTGTTGAAGCCAAAACATTTCTAGTTTTTCAAGCATGTTTAGAGCTTCTTAGCTCGAAACTTTTGGTATTTACGTACTATCATCCTCAGGATTATCTCCTTACTCTTCTTGTTTAATTCCAGTAATGAATTCTTCTTCAGTTAAAGTATACACGACTTGTTGTTAATTTGAATGATTGGTGAAGACATTAATATCCATTTGATTACAGTGAAGTTGTCGAATCTGATCACTCAATTTTGTAATGACTCTTTGATATCCATTTTCGTTACTATTCTAATGCTACTAAAACAATAAATTGAAATCCTAATACTACTAAAACATGAATTATAAAATAAGAAATCAAAACAATAATTCTTGTAATTACATTACTATTAAATTATAATCTCTTCATAGTAATAAATTTAGTTGGTCTTTAGTATTATAATTATAGAGAGAATTTTACTATACCGGGGAATTAGATTGAGATTGAGATACAGGTGGAGTTGATTTTGGCCATCTGCTGTCTGAATGCATTAAATAAGAAATCTCACGTTTTATGTAATTTTATTTTAAGTTGGGTTGTGAAAGATGGGTTTATAATTAAAATGAAGTTGATAAGAACAAGAAAGATAGATTGAGAAAATGTTTCTTCGAAAGTAGTATATTTTATTAGGTTAGGTGCTTTGTTTCCATCACATTAAGTTTATTGTAGTGAGCCGGCCCGTTTCTACACGGAATCAGAACTGGTGAAACAAAGAATACGTTGAGATCGAAATAGGGTTTCATAAAATGAAGAAAAATATGTGCACAAACAGTAGAGCTGAACAATTTAAGAGAAGAGCCTAATTTGGCAGAAGGGAAAATAAAATATCTTCTTTCCAGCAGCTTTATTTGGTAATATGATTATCACGAAAATTAAATAGAATTAGTTTTTAAATTATATAAATTTTGACTGGCCACTAATGGGGCTTCAGCCACCCTAAACAAAGTGAAAATTGTCAAATCAAATCATCTGTTGATAAAAGATTCTTATTTCTTTTATTAAAAAAAAAAAAATAGAAATAAATCCAATCACATTCGAACCTAATAGATTAAAGCTAGTTTTTGCATCCTCGATATCAAAAACACCACATGGGGAATCCTTGAAACTTCTCATTTCTGCATTGCAAAACCAACTTAATATTTCATAATAATAATATTGAAGGGCGTTTAGTCAAAGAAAAGTTATATTAATAAAAAGATATATTATTTTTAAAATTATTAAAAATATTATATTAAATATGATTAATTAGATTAAAATAAATTAATGAATTTGTTATATTGGTATATTTAGTTGAGAAAAAAATTAATAAATATGTTATATAGATTACTAAATTATCTTATTTTTAATATTATTATTTGAATTATTTCGTTTAACCGTAACATTAAAGATTTTGTTAAAACACACCAATCACAATAAAAAATTTAAAATTAACCAAAACACTCTTAATCACCCACGACAATTGTCAACCATTGACTGTAATCAACAATCTTCAAAACGACATACGACCGATTAAATCTAGTCAACTGTGCGTCATTCCGACGATATTAGCCAATGATGGTGGCCAAATCTAACTATAGTCTTGGGTAATTTAGTTAATGTATAAAAGTAATAATATTTTAAAAATCTTGTATATAAGAATAAAATAATCTATAAATATCCTTGTAAATTGTTTTCAAAACAACATTACTATCTAAAAATCTTATTAATCAAGAGTAAAATTGTATCAAAATTAAAATTATTTAATAATCTTAAAATAATTAAAAAAATTATGATATTCAAATTATTGTCTATACACTAATTAATATTGGTAATTTGGTATTAAAAAATTATCCAAATTTTTATTACTTAAAAATTAAACATGATAATATCCATGATTTTAAAACCCAACTAGTTCAACCAATGGAACTGGCTAAAAACCGATGATCAAACCAGGTCAATTTGACCAAAAAACTAAAATTTTCAAATAACCTAGTTTAAACCACAATTGAACCAAATTTTTTGTTACAAATCACCAATCCAACTTGTTCGACCCAACGATTGAACCGTTTTTTTATTTTTTTTTGTCACATTGATATTAGAATGATATTATCACGCTCACATTAACATAATAACATCATAATTTAACTAGCCAACCCGTTGACTTAATATCAACAATATAAAATAATATTACTAAAATAACAAAAAATTACCCAACCAAACACATCCTGAATTGCATGTGGCACTCAATGATAAGCTAGACATCTAGTTGATTGCTTCGCATTGAATATACCCATTTGAACATGCAATCCCACATCCCATTGTTACAATAAAAAACTCAATTATGCAAAATTAGGAAAACTTGAGCCGAAAAATATAAACCGAACAAAACCAGGCCGAGAAAGCAAAGCTGCACAAGACATTTGAAAACAATACCTTAAGAAAGTTCACATAGCATAAATGATGGCTTCTTTCAGCCTCCATGTATCATGTTGAGAAGCGAAAAATGCAGAAAAACAATGACAAGCAGAATGGATTAAGATAACGAGAAAAACTAAAGTTAGGGCAATCAAACAAACAACAGTACACCTAGCCTGAACAAACATATTAGTTCCAGAGGACAAACCTAAACGTTAATCCGTATTTACTAAGATATTTTAGACAACACTACTAATAATAACACAAACCCATGTCTAACTTTTAACCTAAACTACAAACAGAAACACATAATAAAACAAAAGGGTTCTTCAGTGATAAGCCATCCAGAGTCAGAGAAAAAACTCATTCTTTGGCAGTTTTGTTGATGAGTGACTTGTGAATGTGAGGGATCACACCACCACCAGCAATGGTTCCCTTGATGAGTGTGTCAAGCTCCTCATCCCCTCTAATGGCAAGCTGCAAATGCCTTGGAGTAATTCTCTTCACCTTCAGATCCTTGCTCGCATTTCCAGCCAGCTCAAGAACCTCAGCAGTCAGATACTCAAGGATTGAAGCTAAGTAAACAGCAGCTGTTGCCCCAACTCGACCGTTTGCAGAGATCCTTGATTTGAGGTGGCGGTGAATCCGACCCACAGGAAACTGAAATTTATATTAACATTTAAATTGCTACTACCCTTCTTCCCAAAATTAAAATAACAATGAAACTATTAATCAAAGAGGAAAGGCATAAATGTATAAACTCTCCTAAAAATTTCAGCACCGCTGAGAAATTTGGTCAACAAAAATGGACGACCTGCCTAATCTTGGACCTTGGCCTACTCAAAATTTTCTTGCTTTAGTTTGACTACCAATTTTCTTACTACCAAATTGCTCACAGATCCGTACAAAAACACACCTTTTCCTATGTATAAAGCATCAGAAACAGTTTCAATTTCAAAACACATCTACTGTTGCTTCACAATCCAATTTCTGCAAAAGAAAATTTATGAAAGGGAACCTCTTGGGACAAAACTATACCCATTTACAAGTAACCCACGTAAACCCTTTTTGAACAAATTGACTAAAATATGTCTACAGATTACTTCAAACAAGTACATTTCACATAGCTACAAGCATCTCGCAAGTAAATATAAGCTCATACAAAGCAGGATTTTAGGAGTCATTCAGCTTCTTCTTCTTTTTTTAGTTCCTTTTACCATTTAGACTGAATTGAGCAGCAAATTAGCTAAACAAAACACAAAATTGCGAGTGAGTGAAGCTGGCTTAACCTGGATACCAGCACGGGATGACCGAGAAATCGGCCTTTTCTTGTCCTTCTCCTTGTCCTTGTTAGCCGCCGTGGTCTTCGCGGCCAAAAGCCCCTTCCCACCTTTTCCCGCCATCTTTCACCTGTTCAAATTTCAAAACACTCATTAAAACTAAACAAAATCATAAAAAATTAACTGAACCAATATTTTTAAGAAATCACAAAATCGAAAACATTTTTGAAAAATAACTAAAGAAATTGGAATAATTGGCAACACAAAGATCCAGATCTGATATAAGTCTTGAAAGAAAAAATGAACTAAAACGCAAGAGAACACGAGATCAAGATCTCAATTCAATCTAAGCCTACATGAAACCTGAACTGAAAATCTGAAAATTGAAGAAAGAACGAAGATAGAAAGGTGGATGAAGAAAGAGACCTGAGAATTTGGAGAGCGAAGAAGAAGAAAGAAGAATGAGAAGCGAGGGAGAATGAAAATAATAAATAGGATTTTGAAAGGGATCTGAGATTTTATGTTCAGTTGTTAGGTTTGGAGATTTAAAAGCGGGGAAATCCGGAGGGCGGTTTAATTTAGGTGGGAAATTCCAAAGTTTTGAAAATTCAAAATTTCCAAACTTTACTATTATGTCCTTTCCTTTTGTTTTAATGCCCATGAGACCTGACAGATTGGCTGGCTCTAGTTGAAGCTGTGATCTGTCGACACGTGAACCAATAAAATCTTCTTTGAATGGATAAGTTAAATGGTTTCTTTTTACTTAATTTATTTATTTTTTAGGCTTTAATTGAACCCACAAATGGAACTTAACAATCTCTAACAGACAAACGAAATTAAATCGAATTGTGGAATATATATAGAAGCTGTCGGGCGTAGCCAGGAATAATGTATAGGGGTCAAAGTTAAAAAAATAATATAATTTTAAATTAATACAAATATAAATTTTATATTTATAAAATTCTTGTTAATTAGTACATTTATAATTGTCTTCGACGGGATTTCATCTTTTGAAAGTATTGTATAATAACTTCATCATCAATACTATCAAATACATCTTTTTCTATATATACAACTAAGTTATCATTCAACTATTGATCACTCATTCTATTTCGCAAACGATTCTTCACAAAATTCATTGTTGAAAATACTCTCTCTACATTAGCAGTGGCAACGGGTAGAATCAATGTTAATTTCATCAACAAATAAACTAATGGAAACACTTCATCCTTCTTAGTTTCGACCATCATTTTTGTCAGATTTCTAATCCCTTTCAATCCCATAAATTTAACATTAGAGTGCATATCCAAAATATAAACATCAAGTTGAGAATCAAGTGTCATGAGTTCTAAGTCAGAAAAATCATCAGGATAAAGTTCGGCAAGGCGTATCAATTTCTGTTTATCAAAAGCAACAAATGATTTATTTGGACATAAACATGCTAAACAAATAAGCAATTCAGTGTTTACCTCATTGAAACGATTATTCAACTCTTACAACTGCATATCTAGGACATTATAAAATAATTAAATGTGGTAATGACGCACGTTTGTGATACCTTGAACCTTACGTTGTAATCGCCCTTGAATAAAAAACTTGTCATCCATATTAGGAACATCAATGTCATGATTGGCACAAAAAGAATAAACTTTGCTTAATAAAGTCTCCCATCCATTATCCCTCATCAATTGTAAAGCTTGCTTACATGCTTCAACCAAATTCATAGCATTTATAATATCTTGATCTTTTCTTTGTAGTGCTTAAGAAAGTTCATTTGTAAAGCCAATTATATCTTTCATAAAAAATAGACTAAACACAAAGTCAAATGATTACATCAATTTAAATATGTTTTTTGCATGAAATATTTGCTCAGAGTTTGACCCATCTTTTGCCGCAATTTCAAGAACATCGATAATGGATGAGAACATCAAGATTATGTTCATTAACATACCATAATGCGAACCCCAATGCGTATCACGTTGCAGATTAGTCTCTTGATTAACACATTTTCCACTTGAAAGTTCACCATTAGAAGGAGCTTCAATAACTTTACAAGTTTGCTTATCTCTAAGAAAATCGCAACGCTTTGACGAAGCACCAACAATATTAACCACAATCGCCATGATATTAAAAAGATCATTAACATCATCATGGTTCTTTGCCAAAGCCACAAGAGCCAACTGGAGTTGATGGACAAAACAATGAATATAATAAGCACATCTATTCTCTTTCAAAACCAATGTCTTCAAACCATTAAATTCTCCTTGCATATTACTAGCTCCATCATAACCTTGTCCTCGTAGTCTAGAAAAACTCAACCCATGCCTTGAAAAGAAATTATCTAGTGTTGCCTTGAGTGAGAGAGTTGTGGTACTAGTAACGTGTTCAACACCTAGAAAACGCTCCACAACAAGTCCATTCTTGTTAACATAACGTAAGACAATAGCCATATGTTCCTTCCTAGAGATATCACAAGATTCATCAATCATTATAGCGAATAATGAATCTCCTAAATCTCTAATGATAGCACTTACGGTTTCATTTGAAGTAGCACTTACAATGTCTTTTTGAATCTCAGGTGATGTCAATTTGAGATTATTAGGAGCATTCTTGAAAGCAACAGCATTGTAATCTTCATTATGATTAGCAAGAAATTGTAGAAGCTCGAGAAAATTCTCTTGGTTGCTTGAATTATAGGATTCATCATGACCACGAAATGCAAGTCCTTGCCTTAGAAGAAAACGAATACAGTCAACTGTAGCATTTAAACGAGTTCGATACTCTGTTCATGCTTGAGAAGAATGTCGATCAAAAAATGTTTGAATATGTTGGTCTTGATTCAATAATGTTTCACACATTCTTCTAGCTTGGTTATGAGCACTATTAGAACCTCCAACATGAATATTCAATTCTTCTTTCTTTTTCCAATTTGAAAACCCTTAACCAACAAAGCGATCACCACCCCTTTATCACCATGGTTTAAAAAGATAGCAATAAAGACAAAACGTAGCATCTTTGGCTATACTGTATTCCAACCATTGTTCAAATTAACTAAACCAAGAAATAACAAAATGTCTTGAAAATCCACGAAAATACCTAGAAGGAAACTCATGGCCGTTAGGTTGACAAGGACCACTTTCCAAATATATTCTTCGAATTTGATCTTGAATATTAGGATCATAATCTGAAATTCGGGGTCTTAAGCCTGGATCCGAAGGAAGATCTTGCAAATCAACATCCACATTTTTACTTGAATCATCAATATTTTCCTCTTGTTCAAATGATGAGATTATTGTTGACTTTCTTTCGAAATATCTCTTTATACTATTTCAAAACAATAATATATTATTACTTGATATAAAAAAATGCAACAAAATAAGCTATATACTCAATAAAACCAAACAATAACAATAATCTATGTATACAATAATAATTATCAAGATAAGTGAAATTACAACTATTACAAACATTTATAAAGCTAATAAGTTAAAGTATATAACAATACATACACATCACACATCACAGCTCACAAGTATATCTCTTTCTTTTTCTAATTTGTAAGTACTTTAACAAAAATTAAATTAAAGTAATAGAAATTGAATTGAAATAGATCTTAATGCAATATTTTTTTTAAATATATCTTATATTATATACATTGGCTAAATTTCAATTGATATGTGTAAAAAATCTATTCAAATAACGAAACATTTGTGCAATTAAATCCACTTTTTCATAACACTTGTAAAACAATTAAAATTAACTCCCATTTGAATCAAACATTTTTTTATAACAAATATAAAAATGGGTAAAATAATGTGGTCCTAAGAATGATGAACCCATCTTCTCTATTAAAAAAACAACACAAAATTGCCATTGGCCAACTCCAAAATCCATTTGAATCAAACACTTTTATATATCAAAGATAAGAATGGGTAAAACAATATGGTCCCAAGAACTCATATTCTCCATATAAAAAAAAAAACACAAATTCGGCTATAATGGTAAAATAGTGTAGTCCTAAAGCCAACTCCAAAATTCATTTGAATTAAACACTTTTATATAACAAAGATCAAAATTAGTAAAACAATGTGGTCACAAGAACTCACCTTTTCCATATAAAAAACAAAAAAAGGGCAATATGGAATGGGTAAAACAATGTGGTCCCAATGCCAACTCCAAAATAAGTTTAAAAACCATATTCTTACTTCCTCTAACTTCAATATATCATTACAAATAAATAAAAAATGGATGCAATTTGTGGTCCCAGTGACAATTTCATCTTCCTAATTCCTAATCTATAATTTAATCTTAAACTTTTAAAATAAAATAATACAAACATAAAATGTATTACCTGAAAAATTGAAGAAAAAAGGGACTTGTTGGCTTGATAGGAGGAGAAAATTACACTTGTGTGGATAAAGCCTTAAAGGAAAAGAATTGACTTTATAGGTTATTGAAGAGGAAGAAGATGTCTGAGGGAAGGAGAATGATGGGTTTACTTTTAGCAGGAGAACGAAGGGTTTACTTTTAGTTTCATAGCCCCAAAAATAAAAAAGTGTAATTTATTGGGCATAAATATATAATGCAGCTAGGGGTGTAAACGAGCCGAGCTCGGCTCGATAAGGCTCGGTTTGACTCGACTCGACTCGAACTCGATTCGTTAACCGAGTCGAGTTCGAACACAGTGAAGCTCAGCTCGTGGGCTCACGAGCCTGGCTCGGCTCGTTGGCTCGTGAGCCTGGTCCGACTCTATTAAGCACTGTACACTTTACAAGGTGTTTTGGTGATTTTTTAAACTACTAGGTATTAAACTGATATTTTATAGTGAAAAAAGTTTTAAAAAATGACAGTCCCCCCCCCCCCAAAGTGCAAATTTGAAATAACACGATATTACAAAGCAGAGCGTCAATTTCAGTTCATGGCTTCCTGCCCTAAATCCCAAATCGGAATCAAAGACCCCCAAATCCCAAATCGGAATCAAAGACCCCCAAATCCCAAATCACGAACCAGACACTCTGAAATCGGTAATCTCTATCGCAATCTTCGATCTCGGCAACCGGAAAAGGAGGCCCAACACTCTGAAACTTCCAGGTTTGTTTGTTTTATGCTTTAGAGAAGTGAAAATGATGTACCGCAAATTTCGTTACCAGTTTTTCTGCGTCATTACAAAATTTTATTGTACATCCAAGACAGCCCTAAGAAAACATTTACCAGAGTGGATGCTTACCTCTAGGGATGCTATTGTTCAAACTGAATACATATTTGTGTTGTCTCTTCTTCTGCCGTGTGGGATTTTTAGAAACTGTAATTGCTAAAGTACATTGAGTTATGAAATTGCTAATGTTGTGCTCATCTACTACTTTTTGTTGGTAATATGCCTTCTACCAATTATTCCTCTATTATTCCAATCATTGGCTTTAAAAACAATAGGGATTTTCGGCTTAAATAGAGCACTAGAAGTTCATGGATTAGTTAAATTCTTTATTTAATCTATTTTTAATTTGGTTCCCAATGAACCTTAC